AGCAGACTCGCGACATCAAGACGCTGCTGTCAGACTTTTCGCCTCATATCGTCCTGGACGCCCACGAGTTCAACGCTACCGCGCCAGTAGGTCCAAAAGGCGAGTGGACTAAGGCGCAGGACTGTCTTCTTTCGGGCTCCAAGAATCTCAACATTCACGAAGACATCCGCGGCCTAACAGAAGGGCTTTTCACCAATTCCATCGGTGCAGCATTGGAGAAGCGTAAACTGCGTTGGAGCCCCTTCTTCAATGGCGGGGATGGCAACTTGGACTTGTCCGAACCCGGATCTCTCAGCCGAGCGGGCCACAGCTCGGCCGGGCTTCTTCAAGCGGTGACGTTCCTGCTTGAAATCCGCGGCATTTCTCTGGCGGACCAACATTTTCAGCGTCGTGTAGCTACTGGCCTCACCGTCCTCGAGACTCTGGTAACGCAAGCCGCAGAAAACGCCCGCGGGATTTACAAGACGATTGAGGACGCCCGCCAAAAGTTCGCAAACAGTACCGAAGATATCGTGGTCACAGACAAGGCGCGGTCGACCAGCGTTCATTGGACGTTCATCGACTCGAAGAACGGTAGCTTAGTCGACATCCCGGTCACTTTCAAGAACAACACACCACCAGTGGCCAACCTTACAAGGGCGCGGCCCGAAGCTTACGTGTTCTCGGCGGCATTCTCTGATGTGGAGGAGAAGCTGCGCGCGTCTGGGGTCAAGGTTGAGCCACTCGAGCACGACTTTGAGGGTACTGTCGAAGTACTCAAAGTGCGATCGGCGCGCGAGCAGAGTAGTCCTGATTCTTTCGGCGTGACTGTCACCACTCGGGCGTTCGAGAAGGAGGTGAAGATCCCGGCGGGGGGGTTTTGGGTCGATACGAGGCAGAAGAACGCGGCTGTTGCGTTTGTGACGCTGGAGCCAGAGAACTCGGCATCATATGTCAAGTACAACGTGATACCTCTGCGAAAAGGGGATGAGTATCCTATTTTCAGGGTCTTGCGAAAGTGACAGAGGGGTCATGCAATATGACTGTGTTTAATCACCCTTCCGTGGTGATCTTCCAGCTCGTAACTGTTGGTTTGCCTGTTCCACGGAGATCGTTCAGCGGGGTCGGAGTGAATCCTGCAAGGTCATGGGGAATAAGATGCCTGGTTGACAGCTGAAGCAGGGAAGACTGACCGAGAGACGCATACGTCAATGAGGTTGACAAGCAGGTACAACTAGTTGATGGAGGGTATACAATACAACGCTGCAGGGCAGAACCAATGAACCCTACATTTCTCGGCGGGAGTTACCGACCTGTACCGCCCGGGTTCCGCCCCACCGGAACCAGAGTGGCTTGGTGACCGGTGTTTCAATAGGTGGCTCAAGTGTCATTGCGAAATCATCCTTGTCTGGGCCAAAGCTGCGTGGGCGCCCAGAGCTGACTATACGATACTGATAGTCGCAGAGACCTGCATCGCCAGAATGCAACGTGGCGGAGACCACGGCGGAGACTAGCGGATGACCAGCATAATTATGAGGCACAACAGCGCATGATCAACGTTCGACGTGCCGCTGGTAAGGGTACACCCAGGCCCTGTTACCTATAGTCGTCAATTCCATTCCTAGTATATCCCTCAGTAACCGACGCAGATTTCGCTGTTGCTTTTCTTCTCTTTTGAAGTTGGTCCGTTTCTCACAATGCACTATCCGTCCTGATTTGTGTATCAGCCCGGTAGCCTCTGTGAGCCAGAAACTTGCTACTACGATACAGTGGAACATGCCTCAGAAAAGGCCAATCGATGACGCAGGAGACTGCCTTCCGAAAGAATCTCCGGGATCCCCCTTGAGGCATTATACTCCCAAAGACTGCACGTGAAAACTCGGCCGGCCACGTGCCCACGGCGTCGCAGCACACATTTGGCAGCTCGCTGCACCCTGCCGCTCGTCACTACTGACACTCAGTCGGCCCTATTGCCCAGGCTGCACTCCGCACACCCCACAAACGGGCGACATCACCAGCTGGGATGGCATCGAACATGGCGTCCGGGGGTAGCCCAGGGTCAGATCACGAGCATCACTGGCCAAGATTGTCAGGGGGGGTGTTCGAGAGCGTGATCGTCCGGCATTCGGACCTATCCCCACAGCTCCCCGCAAAGCCGTACCCCGGACTGTCAAGGCCGAGCGCCACCATGTTAAGCGTTGAGCGCCTCTCATCTTCCTGTCACACATGGTCATCCCCCAGTATTTGAGGGACGTCATTGTGATTGCCGTTACTGGCTGGCAATTTAACCACCTTGGGGTCCTTCGAAGTTGGTTGACTTATCTGGTGCGGGTTTTCGTCTTGATGCTCTTGTCACCCTACATCGTGCAGGGATGCGGTGAAGATGCCAATGATCAGGGACAGCTGCTCAAAATGACAGTTGCAAATGTGGTTCTATTCTCTGGGTCACTCGAACGACAACATCCATCTGTTAAGGCTGTGGATACCGAGTCATTGTCACACGGAAGCCAGCCCTGCGGCCGTAATGACTGCGTTTCCCACCAACCATTGTATAGCAGATTGCGGAGGTCAAGTCTGGTCATCAACTGCCCGTGGGCCTCGGCGTCATCGCGGACCTGGGCATCAAAATTGCAACCCCATCTCGACTGCTCTAACACATTTACGGCTGTTCGGTTGACGGATCGCGCCGCGGCACGTGTTCTAGACCAGAGAAAAAGGGGGCTCGACTCCAAAACCTGTACCGAGTTGATTTCCCGTTGGAGCAAGGGGGGCCGGCACTAAGAAAGCCTCTTTACCCGGCAATTCATGCACGTTATATAGCCGTGCAGTAGCTGCCCCGGGTTTCCTGGAGACAGTTAGATCTGGGGTAAACCAGCTGCACGAGTAGGGCCGTTTCAGCGGTTGCATGGTCGTACTTCGGCTTCACTCGACGGCGGCTGCCAGGTCATCAATCAAGTTTGCGGGTCAATCTGAGGCGAACCTTCAATCGCGACTAGGGAGTTGCGGCAACTTTGATGATCGCGGGCGTCGTTTTCAATGGAGTTGTTGCTGTACAAATAGATCGACGTTCGTTCCATGAATCGCATTTAATCTTCATCTCCAGCCGCATCACAGTGTTCGCAACCTCCTGAAGATATCGGACATTCGACGATCCTCACAAAATGAAGACCACCACCGCCCTCACCCTCCTGAGCTTGGCCTCCTCCGTCCTTGGCCATGGATACCTGACCATCCCCAAGAGTCGCACTCGTCTGGGCGCCGAGGTTCGTTCTTGCTCCTACAGATACTCTGATTTTTCAGTTCTCGCGGGTCGATACTAACTCGTTCTTGGTGCAGGCTGGACTTGATTCTTGCCCGGAGTGCAACATTCGTGAGCCTGTGGAGGCCTGGCCCAACGTCACCCAGGCCACTGTTGGACGCAGCGGCCCTTGCGGCTACAATGCCCGAGTCTCGATCGATTACAACCAGCCCAAGACCAACTGGGGCAACAGCCCCGTGGTGACTTACACCGCTGGCCAGACTGTCGATGTTGAGTGGTGGTAAGTCCCACACTTTTTCGAACCCATACTAGACCAGGACTCTCGGCATCGCTGCCGGGAAACCCTGCAAGGTCCCCCCCATGCTCTCAGGATCGGTCCCATGCTAAGTACTCTGAACCATTAGTGTCGATGCGAACGGCGATCACGGTGGCATGTTCAGCTACCGTATCTGCCAGGACCAAGCCCTGGTCAACAAGTTCATCACTCCTGGATACCTCCCCACGGAAGCCGAGAAGGAGGCTGCCGAGCAGTGCTTCCAGCGCGGCACCCTTCCTTGTACTGATGTCACCGGCCAGAGCTGCGGCTTCAACCCTGACTGCCAGCCGGGCCAGCCTTGCTGGCGCAACGACTGGTTCACTTGCAACGCCTTCCAGGCCAGCAACCGCCGCGCCTGTCAGGGTGTTGATGGCGCTGCCCTCGGCTCTTGCTACACTTCCATCGCCGGTGGATACAAGGTGTCCAAGAAGATCAAGATTCCCAACTACAACTCTGCTCACACCCTGCTCTCCTTCCGCTGGAACTCGTTCCAGACTGGACAGGTCTACCTCACCTGCGCTGATATCGCGATCAACGGTGGCAGCAACAACAACCCTACCACTGCTGTCGCCCCTACAACTCTCCGCACCACCACCAGTACGTTCACCGTCTAGATTCCTGTGTGAAGGACTCGCGCTAACATGTCCCTTCTTAGCTGCCGCAGCTGCCACCACCACTGGTGCCTGCACCCCTGCTGCCAACGTTGCCGTGACCTTCAACACCCTGGCAACCACTGTCGTCGGGCAGACCATCAAGCTTGCTGGCTCCATCTCTCAGCTCGGTAGCTGGACCCCCGCCTCCGCTCCCGCCTTGTCCGCCTCCGGCTACACTACCTCCCGTCCCCTCTGGACCTACACCGTGACGCTGCCCGCCGGCACCACCTTCCAGTACAAGTTCATCAACGTCCAGTCTGACGGATCTGTCCGCTGGGAGAGCGACCCCAACCGCTCGTACACCGTTCCCACCGGTTGCGCCTCGGCCGTTACCGTCGACAGCACCTGGCGCTAAGCTACCGCGGGCACTATCACCAGCTACGCGATCATGCATCCGGTTCTGGAGAGTGCTCCCATGTGACATGAAAGTATCTTGTCCCCCAGACCAAACCCCCCTGTATATATTGTGCTCTGGTCATGACATCTAGGACGAGCGGTCTGTAACTGCCGCTGGACGCTCCTGCTCGTTTGAGGGAGATGTTACAACGTACATACACACCAGATATGACTTGATGGAACATAAACTTTGCATACCTTTATCTAGAAAATCAAATTACTCTCAAATCCTGTCTCGACGACACGCGTGTTCATTGTAATACTGACTCGGATTCGTAAAGCTACTTTAACAAACACAAGATGCTGTTCTATTCCCGGCATGATGTCGAGTCTAGGGCACATTGCCAATATTGGCCTCCTATATACCAGTGCGCTCTCGCAGCATGCAGTGAAAGGTTCAGGCTTCAAAAATATCCTCAACGTCCAAATACTGCAGAATGGTTTTGATTCCCCCCCACTGCTCCTCTGCACTCCCCCTGATCTGTTCCGGCGGCAACACGAACCCGTGATTCCCCGTATCCCGAAGCTCAATGACGTACGCCCAGTCAGCCTTGCCCACCTCATACGCATAGTCAATGCTGTACCCTGTAGCCACGTACAGCGTGGCACAGCTTGGTCCGAAGACAAACTGCGTCCCCTCTACCTCGCGAATGGCTCGCGTCGCGCGCCGTGCAAGATTGACGTGCTGGCCCAGCTTGGGGATATACTGCGTGCAGTTCCAGCTGAGCGGCGCTAGCAGGTACTGGCTGTAGCTGTGCCAGTCGATGAAGAGCTTGATGCCGTTCGCGTCGCGGAGCTTGTCGATGAAGCCATGCAGGCCGGCCATCTCGGGGGTGTCGCCCGGGGCCTCGCCCTTGTAGCCGAAGCGCCGTTCGGGTTGGCATCCCACTTATAGGGCCAGTTGCGGTTGATGTCGCGGCCCCAGCAGGTTGTCGAGTTGTTAGGAGGTGGTTGTCTGTTTTTACGCCAAAGGCGGTCGTTTGTCTGCGTGTAGACGAATCCTGTGGCTGTCAGTCAAGAGTTTCGCTGGCAGACATTGCCTGACCTACCGTCGGGGTTCGCAAAAGGGAAGATGCAGAGATCATAACTGTCCCGGGCGACAGTTGTCTGGTTGTCGTTGCCGTAGCCGGTCAGAAGTTGCAGGGTTACGTATTCAATGAATGGCGCCGAGATCCATTCTCTGGCATGAACAGTGCCGTGGAAGAAAACCGCTGGCTTTCCAGGGCCCTCATCTCCCCAAAAATGAATGCCAAAAATGTCTCGAACTTCATAAGAAGTTCCAGTAGGGATGACTTCCGAGTGGTCCGGGTGAGCCGCGTGAAGTTGTTCAAAGTACGCCTGGTGGTCATCGTATGGGTGATAAAAGTCGTACCAAGCCAAGTCATCGATTTTCCTTTTCCACTGAGTGTTAGATGCAGATTAGGCGCTGATGGATGCACCTAAGTTACCATGCATAACGTCATATCCGAGACCCAGGCTGTTGAAGGCTGGGATTTGCTCAGGGGATAGCGTGATTGTGATATCGTCAGCGGTTCGCTCCCATTCGTCATACGAGAGCTTGGAGAATTTGCTTTGCACGGCTGGGAGGTCTCCTTCAGAACGCACGCGAAGAGCATGGCATCCGTCGTAAGACACGATATTGTTGGCGGATGCCCACAAAGTAACTAAGGGGAACGCAGCGATGAACCTCATCATGAATCACTGGAGAGTAGGGTATGTCTTACGATCAGCAACCCAATGCGACCACTCTGCATCAGGTTATCCCCCATCCTTTTATATTCTCTAGCCCAACTCGATCAACGACTGAAATGCGGTCTGCAAGTGATTTGTGTTAGCCTCTTTCCCGAATCATGTTAGGCTCAGGTTGGCCGCCGTTGCAACGCTATCCTGATGTCCTCACCCACCCACTGCTGATCGTCTACCCTACAATTAGCATGCTACCAGCACCACTGCGATGATTATGCAGAGGCGCCCGACATTCGGAGGCTGTAGCGGAGCTTTTGATGGCGACATACAGGACTGCGGTTTAATGTGGTTCGGAATCTTGCCATGATGGATCTGTAGACAGGGATTGAGAACTGGAAAGCAAGTGAGTGAATCAAATTCCTTGTATGTCGAGTCATGCATGATCCGCCTGATCTAATATTGTTTGGCAAGTTGACTCGAATGTGATGTAGAGAGCGAGAGCACTAAAGAGCCAAGAAGTCTTGAGGAAAGCAAGATTGTCCTTTAGGTATACATTCAATTTGAAAACTGAGGAAGCAAGCGACAGCGCGCTAGAACATACCCATATCAATCGAAATCATAGCCGAGTGTCTTGGCCGCTGATCACCATCGCATCATCTTGGCGCATTGCGGGGTCGCCTCATGACGTGATAAGGAAATGTGATGGCGAGTGGCAGGGACCATGAAGTCTGAGGGAGAAAGTGAAGTCGGCTCAAGAAATATGAATCCAAGTCCTTTCATAGATACAGCGCTGGTCTGGTCCGTGTTCTAATCCCCGACGTGCTTCGTCCAAGGTGCTTTGCGCTGGAAAGACAACACCAACACGAGTTGGCGGAGGTCCACGGTGCCCATCAACAATCATGCTTCGATTCCCACATGGCGACTGCTGTCGACACGCGTGTCGACCCAGGCTCATGCCAGTGCCCGGGGATTTCAATCTTGGCCAGACACGTTTCAATGTTGGGCATCTGGGAATGATGGTGGTTTGGGGTGCGTCTCAGGCAGCCAGCAAGCTTCTCCGTGATGCTGTCACTTACAAAGGTGCTGTCCACTGAGTCTGCACACGCCGTGACCTTAATCTGGCACTCGTAGGAGGCGCGATCGAAACGCGATGCTTCCCCAATTGAAAGGACACGCGGTGAGAAGGTGTCTGACATGCTAGCGGGCTGGCTTGGCTCCACGGAAGACTGATGAGGGCGTTTGTAACGGAAACCACGGCCATCATCCACAGGAATACTACCGTTGACTTTGTTCCCTGGCCTTTCCACGAAGCTGCGCCTTCCGCTGTCATTGATCTTTTGGAAGCATAAGGCGCATCCAGCACGGGAGATTTGACATCATCAGCAGTCTCAGTCGTCCCGCGCTTCTCTTTCGGGCGGTCTTCCCCCTCATTCGCAGTTCGGTCGATGGCACAGTCGATAGCGTGTTGATCCCGGGACCCCGATGTGAGGAAGCTCCACTGCATAAGTGATGTGGTCAGTTCAACAGATATAATAGAAATCGTTCCTCGATTAGATAGATGTAAAGAATGTGAACGTACTATGGCGGTGGTGAGCCCAATAGCAACCAGAGATTGGGCAGTGCCCATGAGCAAAGTGCCCCTCGAGTCCCAGCCCATCTTCCACCATATGAATGGATTTACGAGCCAAATGAAGAGGGGCACGGTGATGTTGGAGTGGGGATGTCTCTCGACGAAACTAGCCACTGGAGAGTGGTCGAGAGCAGCAGGCTGCGCTCGGTCATGATGAACTGCGGCAGAAGGTTCAGGTTTGAGGCCCTCGTTGGCCTTCCAAGTCGCTTGGACCTCGTCGTTGGATGAGGCCGATGGCTTCGGCAGCAAGTTGGCCTTTTCAACATCGACGCCTAGCATTGCCGAGTCGATGCTACTGCGGCAGTATGTTTCGTCCGTGCTTTCATTCTTATGCGACATGGTGGGCGGCAATCAGGGTACGATGCAGTGTTGGGTGATAAGGGCAATGAGGAAGGTCAAGTCTTCAATGGGGAATCGTTGAGTTTATATGATGGACATGTATCAGCGAGACATGTATCAGTGAAGCCTGTAGGCTCTTGACGGGCCATTGGATCTTCTGCCTTTTGGTGGACAAGGCAGATTTGAGGTGCAGGTGACTGGACTGGCAATTCTGTTGCCTGATTGTGGAGTTGGCAGTGATGATCTTCCAAGGAATGGCTAAGTGTGTGAAGCGACCAATGAAGATGCGATGCAACACCCAGTTCAGTACGTATCTTGCCGTCTTCGGCGGGTTTACGCGTATCGGAGCTGTCAGGGCCTGCTGCGTTCTGACATCAAGCTGTGCCATTGCTCGCCACCTATACACAGCCCTATACACAGCCAAATCCTTGGGCACAGTCACGACGGTATTCGGCAGACAACTGACAGTCTGGTGGGTCAGATGAAGGAGGATCGCCCGTGATAGCCTTTGCATCGTTGCAGACCAATTGATTTCGTATGTGGAGTTTTAGCCAGCCGGCAAGTCTGAAGATTCCATTTTCAGCATCTCGTCACGTATCTGGAACGGAGCGCGTGTCGTGATGTATTTGTAGAGTACCCTGATGAGAAAAGCTTGGGGTCATTCTGTGAAGTGCATGCTGAGGCGGCATAATCCAGGGCTGCAAGCGACTATCTTACCGCTGAGGGTTAGAGTAAGGATCACGTTTGATCTTACTTACCGTACCGTATATACTGGGCGGATGACCGACTGCGATGCCGATGTTAAGTAGTTCTTTCCACTGTTACATCAACCTGCGCCATGTACCGAGCTTGATATTCAGGGTAGATGAACTGCCCTGTTATCAGAACCCAACGGAATTCCTCCTTGTCGTGGCTCTTTGATATTGTTCATTTCCAACGAGGCCCATCACTATCCACCGCGGTCAAGCCTCATTGCCGTGATGATGATGGAGGACGACAAGGGAAAAATGGTTGGCCAAGAGGATGGAGTTCATTCAGGGCAGAGCCTTTCATTGATGATCAGCATCCTGTAACTCCCTCAATAGACACTGCCAGTATCAGAAAGAACCGGGAGTGTGCTACGGCTGCGGCCAAATGGTGTCGAGGGCATCGAGGGCATCAAGGGCATGCCCAGGAGCATCGCAGCCTGCAGGTTCACCTTCTCTGCGTTGTGCATGCATAATGCGATTAGACAACAGATCGCGGGGCGCGTGTGGGGCAACGATCAATTGACCCCCCCCCCCAATGGACCATTTTCGACCCTGAAGAGGCGATTCTAGATCGAGGCCCCCCCGCGCCGCTCTTGTGCCTCACCGCAACCCCCCCCCCCCCCTTGGCCGAGTCGTCCGCATACCGAGAATCCCCTTGGCCACGCTGCGATTGAGTCCCTTTTGCTCGGCACCTGGCTTGCTCTCCACGAACACGTCCACCTCTCTCATCATGTCCGGTCTCAGCTCCCCCGAGGTCGCCGCCGCCTACGACGCCGTCCGTTCCGACAAGGACGAGATCACCTGGCTCCTCGTCTCGAACCCCTGAAT